GTTTGATTTAAATACTTTTAGAATATGAAGGTAAAGGGGATAGCATGTTAGAATTCATGTCCTTTATGATACCAAGAGGTCATGGATACTATAAACTGGCTTATTCAACACCCATTTTATCCTCCTTCTAGGTATCATTACTGTAATGCAAAGACTGGAAAAGTAAAAACCTACATTTCACAGATTTCCTTGTAGCCAGTATTCTGGATTTTAAATTAGGTTCCACCAATTAGATGTGCTCCTGGGAGATATGGAAGGCAGGAGTCGGGTGGAGGCCACTTACCCACTGCTATTTCTGCAGCCAAGCAAAGCCATCAAAACATGACAGGGGCCATCACCAGCTTGATGGGTACCTAAAGGCTGTGGTGGCAGTAGTGGCAGTAGTGACAGTTAAGGGAGAGGCTTTCTGGTTTCTACTTACCACTATAGCCCCCCCCCAATAAAACCAGTGAAAACTCCTGAATTCCATTTCTCTAGCCTTTCTATTTTCATAACCACATTTCTGCTTAAAATACCTAGAGTTTTTCCTTTTTTCTGTACTGAACCATTGCAGATACACATATAATACAAGTACTGTTTCTTTGCTTACTGATCTAAGTAGCCTGCCTTGATCAGTTGCAATTTTTCCCTGAGCAAAGGGAGCAAGAAATATTCCTAGGCCTATGGATGAGGCTGTGCTTTCTGGTTATTTTATGGTTCTATAAGGGGCTGATAAATTATTTCCACTACATTTCTCCCCCCCTTTTAGCCGCCTTTGAGGCTGTGTTAGCAATACATCTAGCCAGTGGAGGATAATTACACAAGGGGGCATAAACATAAAATTACACGGAGAAAATGTAGGTGAATGACTCAGATCTTTAACATATTAAGAGAACTTATAAATCAAGGAGAAAAAAAATTAACAGTCCAATTTAAATATGTGAAAAACACATGAATAGAGGAAGTAGCCAAGAATGATATTAAAATATTCAACCTTTTTTCTTATCAAATTTACAAACTTTAAAAAGATTTTTAAAAAATAGTTTTAAAATCATAGCAAAATTGAGAGAAAGTAACAGAGATTTCCCATATACCTCTCTGTCTCCACACATGCACAGCCCCTCCCCCCATTATCAACAGCCCCTCTACAGTGAGACATTTGTCGATAAACCTACACTGACACGTCATTATCACCAAAAGATCATAGTTTATGTTCGGTTCACTCTTGGTGTTGTACATTCTATGGGTTTGAACATATGTATCCATATTATGGTATCATAAAGAATAGTTTCAGCCGGGCTCGGTGGCTCCGCCTGTAATCCCGCGCCTTTGGGAGGCTGAGGTGAGTGAATCGCCTGAGCCCGCGGGTTCGAGACCCGCCTGGGCAGCGAGACCTCATCTCTACAATAAATCAAAAAATCAGCCGGGCGTGGTAGCGCATGCCTGTAATTCCGGCTACTCGGAAGGCTGAGGCGGAAGGATCGCCGGAGCCCGGCAGGTGAGGCTGCGGTGGCCGGGAGCGGCCACTGCACTCCAGTTTGGGCGACAGAGTGAGACTCCAACTCAAAAAAAAAAAAAAAGAATAATTTCACTGCTCCCAAATTCTCTGAGCTCTGCCTTTTCATTGCCCCCTGCCACCAATCCCTGGCAACCACTGGTCTTTTTACTGTTTCCATCATTTCGCCTTTTCCAGAATGTCATATAGCTGGAATCATGCAGTGTGTAACCTTTTCTGATTGGCTTCTTTCACTTTGTAATACCCATTTAAGTCTCCCTAATGCGTTTTCATGGTCTTTTAACAGTTCATTTCTTTAAGGCACTGAATCATATTCCATTGTCTGGATGTACCACAGTTTATTTTCCGTTCACCTAGTGAAGGAGGACATCTTGGTTACTTCCCAGTTTTGGCAATTAGGAATAAAGCTGCTAAAAATATCCATGTGCAGGTTTTTCAGTGGGTTCAAATTTTTTGAGTCTTTTAGATAAATACCAAGGAGTACAAATGCTGGATTGTATGGTAAGAGTATATTTGTATGGTTAGAAATTGCCCAACTGTCTTCCAAAGCGGTTGTACCATTTTGTATTCCCTTTAACAACAAGTAAGAGTTTCCGTTGGTCTACATCCTTACTAGAATTTTGTGTTGCCAGTGTTCTTGATTTTGGCCATTCTAATAGATTTACTAATGATATATCTATTTGCACCTGATGACACACGATGTAATGTCTTTTTATCTGCTTACTTACCATCATTATATCACTTTTGGTAAGTGTTTGTTAAGGTCTTGGCCCATTTTTTAATTAGGCTGCTTGTTTTCTTATTTTGAGTTTTAATTGTTCTTTGTTATAACAAAATACCATAGACTGAATGGTATCTATTTCTCACAGTTCTGGAGGCTGAGAAGTCCAAGATCAAGGCACCAACAGATTCAGTGTTTGGTGAAGGTCCACTTCCTGGCTCATAGATGGCCATCTTCTCACTGTTTTCTTACATAGCGGAAGGGAATGAGTTCTTTGGGGTCTCTTTTATAAGGGTACTAAACTTATTTATGAAGGCTCTACTCTCATGACCGCATTACCTCTCAAAGGTCTAGAAACCATCCCATTGAGGATTAGATTTCAACATATGAATTTTATGGGGACACAAACATTGTTGATAGTATTTATATATTTAAGGTAACAGCCCTTTATCAGATATGTCTTTTGCTAATATTTTATTCCAGTCTGTGGTTTTTTTCACTTTTTCATTCTCTGAGCAAAAATTCTTAAGTGGTAATACCTGTTTAGGCTGTGTTACTTTTACTGGATATTCTCATATACTACCATGATATTCTAAATTGGTTAATTTTCTAAATGTAAGTTTAACTGTATTTATAAAATATTTATTATCTTAAATTAATAGTTCTCAACTGGGGACAATTTTGTCCCCCCTCCCCCCAGGGAACATTTGGCAATGTGTGATCTTAGTTTTCACAAGTGGGTTGGGGAATGCTACTGTTATCTAGTGGGTAGAGACCAGGGATGCTGCTCAGCATCCTATAATACAACAGGACAGCTCCCACAAAAAACTATCCGGCCCCAAATGTCAATAGTGTCAAGAATGAGCAAGTATCTTAGATACAGAAATTCTGCTTTAAGAATTTACTCAAATAAAATAATTGAATGCACTTAAATATTAATTTATTTAATCTTTCAGTAACTAGTAAAAATGAAAATACAGTCATATTTAGCCCATCATTTTTTGTAGGTATCTAGCTTAGAAACTCTTGTACACAGGCAAAAAAAAAAAGCACACACTCAAATATTCTTTTTAGCATTACTTTTAACAATGAAATTTGGGAAACCTGAACATCAATCAATGGAGTAATAACATACATGGACATTCATTCTCTGAGCAAAAATTCTTAAGTGGTAATACTCAGACCTGGTGAGGCAGTATTACTTGCGATGGTCATAGCAGAGAGTTTAGTCATCTGACCTCCCACTACCTTTTTTTCTTTGATCCTATTCTCCTTTTGGATGACTTCTTTGCTATGGATGGGTGTGGTAGAACACTTATTAAGACTCTTCTCATTTCCTGTCATTTTTAAGTTTGGAAACCAGAAGATGTGATCGCTCTTCTCTTGCCCCTTGATTGAGATGAGAGGAGATCACATGGCCTCAGTTTGGCCAGTCAGTTGGGATTTTAAGTCTTGACCCAAGGCAGAGCCAGAAAGATCACTGAGGATTAAATCCCTGAGTGGTGTCAGTCATAGGCATCCATGGGTCAGATGGGAGTTGCCTTCTGGTCTTACGATTCTTGCTAAATGACAGCATCAGGCCTCTATTACTTGTCCACCATAAAAACCATGGGCTTTGTTATTTAAAACATTGATGAGAAGCCTCAGCAGCAGTCCAATAGATAGACACATCAGATCTCTGTGAATTGCAAGGGGTCCTAATTGATATGATGGAGAATTATATGCAGTAGTTAAAAATAATGCTTATCAGGACATATAGTAAGTGGAAAATCAAAGTGCAGAACATTCATTCACTTAAGGAATGTTTATTGTACTCTTACTATTTATCCAAATACCAAAACCTGAAATCTGAAAGACTCTAAAATCTGGAGTTTTTGAACACTAACATGACACTCAAAGGCCATGCTCATTGGAGCATCTTAAATTTCAGAATTTCAGATTAGAGATGCTCAACCAGTAAGTATAATGCAACCATTCCAATATAAAAAAATTCAAAATCTAAAACATTTCTTGTTCCAAGCATTTCAGAATTCTCAACCTATATAGACACACACACACACACAGAGAGAAAGAGAGAGAGAGAGAGAGAGAGAGAGAGAGAGAGAGAGAATCAAACTATTTGTTTTTTAAACTGCAAGTGACTAAAAGAGAGTATACCAAACTGCTGATACGACTCATTTCTGAATGGTAGAATTATATATGCTTTTTCTTGTATTTTCTAAATGTTGACAATCTGCATACAGTTTTATAATTATAAAATTTATTACTTTTAATTATAACATTACTTAAGTAAATAGTAAGACCTTTGACATTTTAAAATCTCATTTTATACTTAGCCATATTTTCAAGATGTTCTCAATAAGAATATACTAGCTATATAAGCAGATACATCTATGTAATATATATATATATAACATATATTTTATTGAGTAAATAAAATTACATCATCTTATTTTAATACATCTGAACTCCTAGAGTTAAGTCAGAAGTGGAAGTCAATGCTACTCTGACTCCCCTATTGCTCATCCCTGATTTATCAGAAGTTACCTAAGGGGCTGAGAGCAGTTGGGCTGATTTCTCTATAAATGCCAGATCAGAAGGGAATAGTAGGGTCAGCTCAGCTGAGACAGGTGTGGTGTATCAGAGAGATGACCACCTTTCTGGGCTGTGGAATTATCTTAAGTATGCTCTCCATCTGTAAGAATAAGCCCTTAAATCTTGTGTAAGTATACTCAAGTTGGGATTCATGGAACTTCTAACATGATCTCTTTTATTTGGGGACAGGAAAAGTAGGGCCTCCTCATGACATCGTGCTGGGCGCGTTGAACTGTACAGCTTTCAGCATCCAGTGGAAAATGCCAAGGCATCCTGGGAGCTTCATCCTTGGGTACACTGTGAGTACACAGGCATGAGGCTTTCTGCAGTAAATGTGTTGGGTGACTATACCACCTTCCCATCCTTGCTCCTCTTATATGTGTGTTCTTCCATATCGGTAACTTCCCTATTCTCCTTCCATGACACTAGAAGAAATGTTCTCCTCTGAAGAACATTTGTAAGTGTCCTGAATGTCATATCTGCATTAATTAATTAGGATCTACCCAGCCCTTTCTCTGTTCAGCCACGGGAAAATTAAACCAAGTAGAAGGCATTCATACCATTCAATTGCCTATAGTCAAATTTGAAGAATAAAGTAGAAATTTGGGAAATAAAAGGAAATAACTGTAAAATGTTGTCAATAAGTAACAATAATATAGAATCTGAATTAAAGTAATAGGGTAGATAGATAGCCAAAGTGGAGGAAGAACAGAGAATGCTTTATTGTCTATCAGAGCTACAAATTGGGCTGATTTTGATTCACCAAATGTTTTCTTTGAACAGAGTTTTTATAAATGAGTCAACTGTTAGAAGTCAGCAGCTGGGCTTGGTGGTGCATGCTTGTAATCACTGCTACTTGAGAGGATGAGACTGGAGGATTGCTTGAGCCCAGGAGTTTGAGACCAGCTTAGGCAACATAGTGAGACCCTACCTCTAAAAGTAAAAAGATTAAAAAAAGAAAAAACTTTTAGAAATCAGGATATTTTAAATAGACATTAAGAGTTCTGAATGCTCTGGGATATGGGGAGAGCTGGCCATACTGGGTCCACATTCCTATGGGGCACCAATCCTATTGTAGATGAGACATGTCTTCCTCATAACACCCCAATCCTACCACCCACTACTGTCTCCTTTTACCAGAGGACAGTAGCCACTCATCATGGCCCTTGTCTTGTCATCTTCTTAGAGAAATATGTTTCTGGACTCATGTCATATCAAAAGTGGAAAAATGAAAGATTGCCTTAGAGGGTCATGATTTTGGAAAAACAAGAGGAGCTGGTCCAACCTTTTTCCCCTCTTACATCGTCAATATGTGTCTTCCTCCTGGGCTCTACAGCCTTCTGAGTTTGTGACCCCGTACCTGGTGTGTCTGATGTTTGTTCCCACAGAACTAGTACATGTGAGGTGAGGCGATGCACCTCAGAACACACTGTCTGCCATTGCGAGTCTGATTCAAACCTTTGATCTTAGACCAGGACTGGCTCTGCTCTCATCACGATGTCTGTATCTGTATCTTTTCAAGGTCTTTTACTCTGAGATGGACGCAGATAAGTCCTTGTGGGAGCAGTCACATAGGGTGCCTCTCAGCCGGGTCACCCCCACATTGGTGAGTCTCTCCATCTTGATAACCCCCTCAAAAGCACATGGGTGCCATTCAGGCGGATTGCTAATTTGGTGTGTGTGTGCTGCTGTCCAGGTGACAATAATAACTAACACTTGTATAGTCCCTTAGGATTTCCAAATGTCTCCCTTGTACATTAACTCTGTACCATGCCGTCTGTATCTCCAGAAAGGAAGGTATTTGACGAGAATTCTGGTGTAAATGTTCCCATCCTGGACTCAACCTCATTTGATCATGCAAGAACACAGCCACCTTACAACTGGGTTTTTTTTTCTTCTTTTCATAAAGTTCAGTTCTGATTTTTTTTGAAGTCCCAATAAAGCTTTATAAATAAATAGAACGCATTGTATTTTTTCTGCTGCTTGAAGACAGTGCAGAAGAAAGAGATGTCATTTGAAATGTATATTCAAATGGTCTGAGTTGTTTTTTTTTTCTTTTCAAGCCCAGCGCCCTGTCCTTTTTCACTAACCAATTGTTGGCTCCTCTTCTGTTTATTTTCTGTTTCCTGTCAAGGCCTCTCTGAGTGAATTTTTTGCCTGAGGTATCTTCTGTTTTCTTTTTTTTTTCACTCTCTCCCTCCTCCCTCATTCTACTGCTACTCTAGGCTAGAGTCTGCTGAATTGCTCTATAAGGAGTTAGCACCAATGCCCATGATATTGTTATGATGATGGTGGTGGTGGTGGTGGTGGTGATCCTTATTTCATCAGTGCCTGCTGGCTGCAGCACCTAGCCTGATCTGTGTGTCACTCATGATGAATAATTATCACTGATTGAATGTCTGTTACCTGCCAGCCACCAGCCCTCATGCTTCACACTGACTTTGTCATTTAATTTTCACAACTATCCTATGACCTCATCTTATTGACAAGGATGCTGAGACTCAGAGAGGTGAAGTAACTTTCCTCAAATCATGCATTAGTAAGTAACAGCGTCAACCATGAACCCAGGGCTGCCTGACCTCTGGCCCCCTGCCCTTGCTGGTTTTACCATAGCTCTCATGACTCAGAAAGAATAGATGTACATTTCCAGCTTGCTTTTATTTGTATGACATGCTTTTAATCTCAGAATAGACTTTTGCTTCAGCATCCTGCATTAGCCACAGAAGTCCTTAGCCCCAGCCTCTGTGGTTTACTCTGAAGAGGGGGAGAAGGGTTGAAACTTTCAAATAGTCCATTGACCCCACAAAGGGGCTGTATTGTCCTTAGCAGTGTTCCCAGTCACCCCAGCCTTTTGTCCTGTTCAACCTGGAGCACAGTCTAGGTATTGAGGAAGCCGTGCTGGTAACAGGTGCCTTTGAGTCTAGACAATGCCTCTGAAATTGAGATCCTGCCCAAAGAAAGAACTAAAGCCTAAAGCTGGCATCTCGGTGACGGTCACTGCCATATAAACATAAAACAGAGGTCTGGAAGTGAGACCAGGGTTCCGGGCTTCTGGACCTGCTTCCTCTGCTTATGTGTTGGGTAGTGTTGGCAAAAGTCATTTGACCTGGCTGTCTGAGCCTCAATCTTATATAATAATGCATATAAAAATTACACAATTATTTAAGTGATGTGTATAAAAACCTTTGGTAGCATGTAAAAAGCTACATAGATTAGAGTTATTCCTGATAACTTTTATGTTAAAAATATTCTTTCCATATATTCTCTCCTATTTCATATCTATGAAATTGATCATCTTTCTGGTTTCAGTAAATTTGCATGGCAGCTGCTATATGCCCAGCACAAGTCAACTCACAGTTCATGTTTGGGGGCAGCCTTCAGTCCTGTTGAGAAAACCACATCCACATTGATACAACCATTAGGGAGCAACCTAAGACCAGGTGTCTTTACCATGCCACTTAATAGATAGGGTTTGAAAAGGGAGTGTGGGCATAGGTGGTCAAAAGGTAAAACTCGGGGATGAGAATTGAAGCAGGGAACTCTCTGGGAAGGTGACTCAAGGGAGAGACATCCCAATTGGAATAGTTTGAGCCCTGAAAATGAGTGTGGATGTGTGTGGGTTCTGTGGGGGTGGGGAGAGTTGCAGAATATACAGACTGAAGAGAGGAAGTAGTGACTAGATATAAAGGCAGCCAGTCAGCAGGAGATGAGGGAGGAGTCTGGTCTTGCAAAAGGAGGTCTGGATTCAGACGCCTGGCATTCAGATTCCTGCATTTCAGCCAACCAGCAGGATAATCTTACTGGGGCTCAGTTTTCTCATCAGCATAACTGGGGTTCCAATGATATCATGGGTAGTGTATCTGTGGTTCCCAAACTGTGTGCCAGGGTGTTCCAGGGCTCTGCAGCAAGCTCACGGGGGCATGGTGGAATATTTAACATTTTCAAGGAAAACGGCAACATCTGTGCTGTGTGAACTACTACTACCAAGTTGTTTGGATAGAACTGCTTAATAAATGGAACCATTAGGCATTTCTTTTTGCCTAAATGTGCTGTGAAAATACTACTGGGACACTAAGTGTGCATGAATAGAGAAAGTTTGGGAACCTCTGTGCTGTATCACATTATCCTTTAGGATAAGGATAGCATGAGTATCAAGCGAGGTAATGACTGTGGAGCCTTCAGCACAATACCTGGCACAGAGTAAGAACTTAGTAAGCCGTCAATATAATTGGAAAGACGAGTGTTTGCTGCTCTTGGCTGTACATGTTGGAAGGGGCGGGTGCTCTTTGATTTCATTTTTGTCCTGTAAGTGTTATTTTATTCTTATTCTTCATATTGACTCTGTTTTTTATGTTGTTGTTGTTGTTGTTTTCCCCCTACTCTACAGGGACAACACGATCATCAGGTGGTTTTTGTAAGTATGTTTTAGAAAAGTTAAACCTCTGCCCCAATCCAGGATTCAAGGGGTCTCAAATGTTGATTTTTTTACATCTTCCTCTTACTGGTTGAGGCCCAGTGGAGAGAGAGTGCCTAGTTTTAGTGTTAGCAGGGACTGCCAGACGTATAAGTTGAATTTTTAATCCTTTGGAAAGAAGCCAGTTTTATCCTTGCATGTGCTCCTTCGTCTCACATAACAGAGTAAGGCTAAGAGGAACATCTTTAAAGGTTGAAGTGATTTAAGCTCTGTTCCAAGACTAGGTGAAACAGATCGAAAAGGAGAGAAAATATTTAACTAGTCAGCCCCACTCTGGAGATAGTCCTTCTCCCCTCCTCTTTCCTTACTCCCCTAACAATTCCAGATTGTCTTTTCAGTAAGACAGGACTGATTATCTAAAAATGGTTGATTTGATTCTCTGGATTGAATGCAAAACAAGAGAGTGGGTTGACAAATGGTTAGTCTGATTTAAATGATAAAATGACCAAAATAACCTGGCTGACAATGTAGAATTCTGATGCATTGTTTGATAATCTGCATTCTAGAGGCTTCTGATTTGGTTAGCATTTGACACTCACTGTATCTTTTTTTTTTAGAAGAACAACTTGCAGGTTTCATCCTGAAAAACAAAATAGGAAACCAAATCAGGACAATTTGATAAGTTTTTAGAGTTAGAAATGGAAAAGGATGTTTAGGTTGGTGGTCTCTCCATTTTCTGATCATGCATACCATCAGTTAAAAAATATTTGAACATGCACCAATATATGTATATTTATGTCTTTATGAATTATACATCTGCTACTGTACTAATATATTGTGTACATTATGAAACCTCACATAATTTTAAAGGAGGAAATACAACAAAAATAGTTTTTGTGCTTTCTTCTGGCATCTTAGTAGATTGTTTTGCTCAACCGGAGGATACACCACCACCCTGCTTTAGGGTCCACTGCTCTGATTGACCCAGAACAGTGATTCAGTTTGGGTCTTAGTCAAGGTTAGAGAGAGAAAACTTAGCCAGGAACCAGAAGACTTGCATCTAGTTCCTGCTTTCTCATCAGAGCAAGTGTGACCTTGGGCAAGGTCACTGAACTCCTCTGAACTTATCTTTGACTATAAAATGAAGGGATGGACTAGCTGGGGATACCTTTGTCCTCTAGTGGGAATGTGGAAATATATGTGGGCATTTTAGTGGACAAGCACGGGGTGTTAACTACCCTGCAATACACAGGAAGGAAGATTTGTCCAGCCCCCAAAGTCAATGCTGCTCCAGCTACAAAACCCTGGAGGATAGCTCAGGAAATAAAAGTCCCTACAACTCCTCCCTCCACTCTGCTCTGCACAGCCTGCCTCAGGGCCATTGGAGAGAGGGTGCTTGAAAGATAGCACTTATTAATTTACCTGGTTCCTTCCACCAGATGATGCTAGGTATGTGCAATTGCTGGTAAGGCAGCTGAGGCCCAATCTTGATTTGTAGGGTCAACTGTAAATTGAATACAAGTTTACTAGCTACCAATGAAGGTTGTTTTAGAAGAACTGTAGAATTTCAATGTTGAATCTTCAGCTCAGAGAGACCAAATGTTATCTTCAAGACCACACAACTAGGTGAGCAACAAAACCTGGGTGTTCTGGCTCCTAGTCCAATGCTCTACCTACTTCATGCCTTCTCTCAGTTCATCTGGACTAGTAAATAGAACAACCTCTAGCTTTATTTCTGAAACCAAATGGTCTGTATTTCCAGCAGTAGAAGAAAAGAACATCATGTAATGGGGTAAAGGTGAGGTCTGAAATCAGAGTCAGAGACTTAAGTTCACAACCATTCAACATGGTTTCACCAATGCAAAGTGAAAAGTGTTTAGGAAAGAATCAGCCCATCTTTTCCAGGCCTCCCTTTCTGTGGCTACCCAGGTTGTTTATGTATATTGGGTAATGTATCAGTTATGATATAAGTCTAGCAGGCCAGAAATTCACAATAACAGTGATTCTAACAAGATGTGCATTTATGTTTCCCCCATGGATCTGTCTGGTTATAACAAGTCTAGGGCTCTTCTGGTGGCTTCCTTCAGTCAGACACCCAGGCTTCTCCCATCCCACTGTTCTGCCAAATCCTTGTGCCTGTCTCCCTGTGGTTCAGAATGACTCACTGCCACATTCTAGCCAATCGATGAGGAAAAGGAGCATACCCCTTCCTCTTAAGGGATAACTCCAAAATTGGCCTCAACATTTTCACTCACATCTTATTGACCATACATAGATGGAAGGGAGGCTGAGAAGTGTAGTTTCTGAGTGGCCATGGCCACCTGAAATGGCCTGTCTGGGATTCTATTATGAGAAAGGAGTGAATGAATACCAAGGGACAGCACATCATCCAGGTGACATACTGGGTGGAGGGAATAGAAAAGGCAGTTGAACATCTAGAAAACCAGGTGCTAGCCTGAGAATTCATCATGCAATGTCTAGGAGTCAGACAATTAGAAACACATTAAGTCAGTGTGCTTTATGAGGGAAACCAGACCCACTGTTTCCCCCAAGGGCAGTTATATAAACTCTGTGGATTTAGTTTCATCATCTATAAAATGGAAATAATAGGACTGATCTCTTAAGGCTGTTGTGAGGATTAGAGGAGGCAATAGCGTGCAAATATTTTATAAATTCCAAAATGCTACATAAGCGCAAACTATAATGAGTATACCAACTATAAGATTAAAATTAATTGTTCTGGCAATCTGTGAAGAAGGCAGCAGTCCCAGGAAATGGCTCAAAGTTGTTCCAGTTTTCTCCTTGGGCTCAGTGAAATGACCAACCTGGCTTTGCTCTTCTGTGGATATAAATTAACTGACCGCATGACAGCCACCAGTGGTGTTGAGAAGACAAAGGAAGCAACTTTTAGAAGGGACTTTGCATTTCAGAAAGATCTAGACAAACACAAAGCCAGGGGTATTTTGCTGCAAAACATCCAACTTTGCCCCCAAAATGGTGAGAAAGGGATCTGAGGAGACTGTGGAATTCACTCTGACTTCTATTCCATCTACTCTTTTTCTTGCCATCCTGTGTATAAAAAGAGAGCAATTTCTTCCACTCTTTTTCTTGCCATCTTGTGTATAAAAAGAGTGCAAGAGAGAGAAACATCTTGACTTGTCTTCAAACTTCCTCAAGGCAGCAAAACAAAGCAAACGCTGTTTTTCTACTTTGAGAAGAGCATGTTCAGCATCTTCCCTAAGTTTGACGCAAGGCTGAAGTAGTGGTGATAAGACATTTCAGGACAGCAAGACAAAGATTGTGGAATTGTGTGGTATTTTACAAAAAATTGCAAGGGTTATGCAAGGCACAATGTAATGAAAATTCCATTTGAGAGGAGAGATGTCACAGGAAGAAGTGATGGTGATTATCACTGAATCCAACCCCTGTCTTCATGGCCCCACCCACTCAATCTCTTTGACCCTCATGCCCTTGTGCCAACTTGCTAGCATGTCTACATAGGAAAAGAAACAGACAAAACAGTTACCTTCTGGGAAGGTCACTTGCTACCTCTCAGAATACACCAGGCTGAAAGTAGCACTCATTTTCTGTATCTAGTAGAGTTTTTTTTTAGTGTTTTTTAAGCTATACATGAAACTTCTACAAATATGATTTTTCTTGGTTTTCAGTGGTTACATTTACATTTCTGATACATTCACTTCCACGTTCATATATAAAGTACGAATAATCTAGCTTTTGTGTTTATGATAAGTATTTTTGTTGATTTAAACATGACTTATTATTTTTCATACATGTGTTATCCAATTAGAACTTGGACCTTGGTGTCAAACCGAGCAGCATTCAAATCCCAACTTTGCCATTTATCTAATACATAGCGAACTTTTCAGGGCTTCAGTTTTCTCTTCTGTAAATGAAAATAAGAGTGCTACTTACTTCACAGGACTGAAGAAAAATTTAAATAAGTCTATGTGTGCAAAAACCCCTTGTTCCTGGAATGCAGAAAACATTGCAGAAGTGGTACCTAGTGGTAGATATATTTGGTATTGACTCACACACACCCTAATGCTCACAATAATCCATGAAAGTACATCACCACCCATATTTTGTATAGCATAATGACTTCCCAGGAGAAAAGGATCCTAAGGCAGAAGCCCGGGAAAGCACTGAGTTGGTTTGAAAGTGTGTTTTTGCTTCTATGGGAAAAGCCTGGAATTGCAGTCAAGACGGAAGTGAGAACAGGAATCTTGAATCCATTGCTGCCTCCCATCTCTTAACCACCAAACTTGACATGAAACCTTGTATGGAACTCGAGGGCACTGGTGTGGGGAAGTAGAGCAAGAAGGGGAGTTATGAAGACTGGTCTGTACATACGTTCAGTAAAGACTCTTGTGAAATAGCACCTAGGACTTAGTAGGAGTGAGAGGGGGCAGTGAGAAGGAGGGAGGAGCAGATTGGAGACAGATACCTTCTAGGAGTTGTAGAGATGGCCCAGGTAAGGAGTCAAGGGGGCCTGAACTAGGGCACTGAGGTGGAAATGGAGGAAGAGAGCAGGTCTGAAGGTGTGGTGGAGGTGGCCAGAGGGAGCAGGCAAGAGGAGGAAGTCAGTCCTGTCTCTGGAGTGACTAATCTAGGGTCTGGGGTGGGGGTGCTTACGCTGTGAGTCAAGATGCAGGGCTCAGAAGTATCAGCTGGCTCTCAAATGAGGTCATCTGTCTATATGGCACATCTTGGCTTGACTTCTCTCTTTAATCACTCACTAGTTTATTCATTCATCAAAAAGCATTGCTTGAGCATTTGCTATATGTCTGTTAATACTTTGCTAAGCTTTGGGATGCCAGAGAAATAAGAACTTGCATCCCATCTTCAAGCATATGTGTGTGTGTGTGTAGGGGGGGTGACAAATAAATAGACTATACAAGGTGAGTGATGCTCAGATTGAGGTGCACCAAGGACACAAGGGAAGCAGAGAGGAGGGGCGCCTAACCAGACTGGGGGATGGGGGTCAGAGAAATGAGGTAATGTCTCAGCTGAACTGAGTCATGAAGGATGAGTGGGGGTGAACCAGGCAGGAGTAGGGAGAAGGGCATTGCATGTGAGGGGAGCAGCAGGTTCAAAGGCCCAGAGGCATTGAATGGCATACATTTGAGCCCTGCCAAGTTCTTAAGTATGACTGGAATGTAGAATGCAAGGAGGGGATGTGGTATGGGATGATTCTGGAAGGATAAACAGGGAGACACATATACTATTCTAAGGGGGTTTTAAAATGTGAAATACACGATCAGTTTGGGGATTTAGGAAGATAACTCCAGCATGACAGTGTGGAGTCTAGATTGCAGGTACAGGTAAGGCAGCATGGATAGCAGGGAAATCAAAGCCTGTTGTCACAATTATGAGAACTTGGTCTTGAATGGCTATAAGGATGAAATGACATAAACTAATTCAAGTGATACAAAGAGATGGAATAGCTGTATCAGTAACTGATTGGATGGTGGTTAGGGAGGAGAGTGAACATTTAGAGGAGAGTATCAAGAAATCTGGGATTCAGCAAGGAGAGAGAGAATGCCAGAAGTGAAGCAATGTTTTGTTTTGGTTGGGTTTGGCCACAGGAAGAGGAATGACTAGTTGAGCTTTGGTTATGTTGCCCTTGAGTTGCTTCATGGTCATTGGGTAGAGCCGTTCAAGAAACACTCACAAATTCAATCCTGGAGACCAAGAGGTAGACCAGAGCTGGAGGGGCAGATGTGGGAGCTGTCACCTTGAAGGTGGTGGCAGAAGCTAAGGGGGTGGTAGATGAATTTACCCAAGCAAGACTCTACAGAAAGAGAGGAGAAGGGGAACCTCCTGACAAAGACCAACACTTAGAGGTGAAAGAGGGGAGTGGGCAGAGGCTAGTGGAAAAGAGCAACAGAAAAGTAGAAGGTGACCAAGGAGGCACAGTCATGGTGTCCAAGGAAGCCAAGAGATTGATGAAGCAAGGGTGGGCAACAGTACTGAAAGCTGCAACAGGTCATTAAAGACTGAGACACACCCACTGGATTTACTACAAACTTGTTGTGGTGACTTTGGTGGGAACATCTTGGTAGATCGTAGTGGAGAGAAGCCAGAGGGAGGAAGTTGAGGGGTGAACAGGAATTGAGGAGGTGGAGATAAGTTCTTCAAGATGGTTACCTTGAGGGGAAAAACTAAGGGTGCACATATGGTAGGGCATTTTTTTTTTAAGGTGAGAGTCTTGAGCACAGGAAGTACAGAAGGATCCAGTAGATACGAGAGAGGTTGGGGATACAGGACAAGAAGAGGATGAATAGACGGGGTTCAGGGCACGAGAGGTGTGCTAAGCTCTAGACCAATGACTCACAAACCATTAGAATCACCTGGAGGCCTTTAAACAAACAGTCACCTGGGCCCCATCCCCCAGAAATTCTGACTTAAGTGGTCTGGAGTAGAGTCCAGGCATCAGTATTGTTAGATCTCCAAGTGATTCCAATACGTAGTCAGGGTTTAAAGACGACTATATTAAACATTCCACACTTCTTTGTTGAATGCGTTAAAATATTTTTTTGGGGATTTCCTCAATTCACTTTAGCAATAATGAATGTTCAATCATCTGCAGAGGAGATTGTGAAGAAATATATGTCACGATCCCTGATCTCAAGTGACTTACAATCTCAAGGGAGAAATAGTAACAATTTATAATATATATCCTATATAAGTGCTGAAGTAGTGCACAATATTCAGTAGGGTAAGATCACCAGGTCTGGGTGGTCAGGGAAGGTATAAAGGGGAGGGCTTAGGCCTTGGAGTATTGAGGGGATATAGGTAAGCAGAAAAGAGGACAGTTCCAACTTTCCCAAGACCGTAATCATTATACCTTGCTTCTTGACCACATCCTTCATAACAGCTACAATACACACATTATCCCAAACATTATGCACATGCAAGAGAGTTATGTCATGCCCATTTCACAGAGAAAAACATCAAGGCTCAGGGAATTTAATATCCAAATCATAGCTAGTAATAAGTGGCAGAATCAGGATTCTAGCCCTGGCCTGGTTGTCTCTGATGCCGGTGCTCTTTCCACTAAAATGTACCACTGCTTCTCACGGATGGAACTCAGGCTCCCACTTACTATTTAGCTATGTAGTTTTGGGGATGCACTACTTTTGCCAAAGCCCAAGGTGGAGCGAACTCTTTTCAGCTAGGACTTACTGATCAGAGTCACTTGTAGGGAAGTTCATATACACATGCTTCATGAATCCTAGTGCTTCTCAGTGGGGAGTCCCTGTACCAGCAGCAATAGCATCACCTGGGAATTTGTTGGAAGTGCAAATTCTCTTTTCCCAGACCTACTGAATCAAAAACTCTAGGATTTGCCTGAGTATGAAGATTGTACTCAAGAAACAAGTGGTAACGAAATTGCCAGGCCCAGCAATTTGTTTTAAGAAAACTTTCCTCGTAATTCTGAAGCTCCTTAAAATTTGAGAACTAAAATTTCAATCCTTATTTTATAAAATACGAATCAAGACCTCAGTTTGCTGTTGTGGCTAGTCCCTGAGCATCTGAAATCTGCAAACGGAAGAAAGAAACTGGGGAATTCCAATCCTGGGAAAGACCATTACCTGCATTCCAGCCGCCTAGTACTTTGATCAAAGAATTTTAATGTTAACAGCAACATTTGCTAGTGTGAATGAGTCCAGTTTTAGGGCAGTGTGTAGATTTCAACAAAGGGTAATCTTTCAGTCTTGGGAAATATGTCATGATGTTTGCCTCTTAGCAAATATTAAAACGGAGCCAATCCTAGACAAAGAAAAGCAATCACTCTCCCAAGCAATCTCACAGAAGCCTCAAGTTGTAACCCTGAGATGAGATTTACTCGAGATGTAACTTCTGCTCATTGACACCTTTCTCATTTGATCATTGACAGGAGGAGGTGATCGGAGATTTGAAACCAGGCACTGAGTATCGAGTGAGCATAGCAGCTTACAGTCAGAGTGGTAAAGGACGACTTAGCTCTCCTCGGCATGTTACTACTTTGTCCCAAGGTAAAATAGGTTCACATTCATTAATAATAGCAAAGTAATGGGCTGCTGTATACACATCCTTTCACTCAACAAATACCACAGGGGACCTACTATGTTCCAGACACTGTGCCAGGCTCTGGGAATTCAGTGATGAACAGAAGCAAGGGCAGTCCCTGCCCTCTCATAACTTAAGGGGATGCATCGAGACGTTCTCTAATTAGTGTGTTTAGTCACAGATCGTGACAGATGCTACCCATAGTGCTGTAAGAACATACAACGTAGAGATGAGGGAAGAATTCTTTGAGGAGATGATAACTAAGTGGAGATCTGATGGGTGAGTAGGATTCAAAAGGCGAGGAAGGAGAGTGGGAAAAAAGATTGATAGGCAAAGGGACCCCAACAAATGCTCGTTGGAGGTGGCACCGTGCTGCCACTGGAGTATGAAGGTGGGTCAGTTGCAATCACTGCTTGCAAGATGCTTGGTGGAGAGAGAAGTGCATGACAAGCAAGTGACATTAGTACATCTGAAGTTCTGCACAGCAGGCTGCAGGGTATACTGGAGGGTGTGCTTCTTCTGCCCCAGGCTCAGGGAAGTTTTCAGAAAAAGCTCTGTTTGGGGCCTGAATTATGAAAAATGCATAGGATTTGCTAGAGAAATGGCAAGAAAAATCTCCCAGGCAGAAACAATAGTATGAACAAAGGTTGGGAGGTATGCAAGTTTGGACGTGAAGATAGAAACAGGGGTCCTTGAGGTGATGGGGTCATGGGTGACATCCACATCTTTACACAGGAGGGCATTTCTCAATTGTCCTGCCATTGCTATGTATTCTGATCATCAGGGGGCAAAACACACACACAGAAGAATTGAAAGTAAGTGGCAGTAATTCTAAGCATTTAATGTTCCTTGTAGGTAAATCATCAATTCTGACATGCAAACAGAGATGAAAGGTTGCTGGGAAGCGAGAGTGTGATTGAAGACTTTCAAGGGTCCCTACCACTGCATGTCTCAGGGCCAATGGCCAGGACATAATTTAGTTGGATTTGCACTCAGGGTGCTGGGGGAAGAAGGGAAGACCACCTCTCATTGACTCAAATCTTACATGGTGATTCAATTGTGATCATGCTTTTGTATTTGTTTGGTTTGGGTTTTGAGGCTGTTCTGAACAGAGGTACAAGGGGGACCCAGAAAAACAGGAATTATTTTTGGAATGAGGTGTCTCTTGTAGTACAAGCTTCCCCTACCAGGTAAGTGTTTTAGAAATCCATCGACATCAGTGTACCAGCTAACATTATTGTGAGAGGCTGTGTTCAACCTCAGTTAACTGGTTTTGTTGCTGTTGTTGTTTTGGAGATTATTTCAACATGTTTGCTTATTTCATGATGGGTGATTTACACAAACAACCTGTCCACACTGCGCCAAGTATTCAGCAGTTTTTGGCCAAAAATGACATGACCCTCTGCTCCACCCTGCCTATTCTTTCAATCTCACACTAGCGACTTTTTTGTTTACTTGTTTCCCCCAGATGAAAAAAGTCCTCAGAGGGAGATGTTTTGCCCATGAGGAAAAGGTGAAACAAAAAATGGCAGAAACACTAAAACGCATCAAAATCGATGGGTTAAAAAACTGTTGTGAATAGTGGGAAAAGTGTCTTGATATGTGTATTGCATCACACGGAGAGTACTTCGAAGGTGTCTAAAATTTAAACATATAAGAATAAATATACAATTTTTATAAATAAGTGCTGGGGTTTTTAGGGGGGTTCTCCCCTTGTATTTTGGTTGTAAGAAGCACACATGTATGTATTAAACCTCTCCAGCAGCTGAGACCACCAGCCCATTCTAGTTGTGTTTGTTGTCCCACCTAGATTTCTGCCTGCCTCCAGCAGCACCCCAGCAGCCACATGTCATTGTGGTTTCGGATACTGAGGTGGCCCTATCTTGGAAACCTGGAACGAGTGAAGGAAGCGCCCCTATTCAATACTACTCTGTGGAGTTCATCAGGTAAGTGTGTGTGTGTCACATTAAAGAGCCAAATGTGTAGACCTCAGTCAGGTATTTCAAGCATGATGGAAGACTAGAGAGAGAAGCCTGGGCAACATAGTAAGACCTTGTCTGTACAAAAAAAAAAAAACTAAAAACAAGCTGAGCATAGTGGTATGTACTGTAGTCCCAGCTACTCTAGAGGCTAAGGTAGAAAGATCGCCTGAGCCCAGAAAGTTGAGGCTGCAGTGAGCTGTGCTCGCGCCACTGTACTCCAGCCTGGGTGACAGAGTGGGACCCCAATTGAAAAACAAAGACAAGGTCAGGCTCGGTGGCTTAGCCTGTAATCCCAGCACTTTGGGAGGCTGAGGTGAGTGGATTGCCTGAGCCCGCGGGTT